TATTGCCCAGCAACCCAACCAGACAAAGGTTTGAGAGGGTGCTACTCTACATAATCAATACTCGTTTACACAGTACTGCCCTCGGGGTTGCCAGGAAAGTTGTGACCCGGGTAGATCGCTATTTCCTTGCCCTGCATCTTTCCAGGTAGACCCTCTAGGGTTGAACATCAGGCTGGTACTCTCAGTGATTCTCTAGGGGTCCAGTGGTCAGGCTCAAGAGCCTCCTGTCCAAGGAACCTCACCACCCGAACCACATGTGCAAACTGGCCAGCCACAGAACTAGCAGTTGCCCACACAACACACCCACTGTGCCCACAGCACTGTGAAAACTACCCTGCCTGGGTGAGGTATGGGGTGGAGTGGCACCACAGGTTCCAGGCAAAGCAGCGGCAGGACTTCTCTCCCTGAGCTGCCCTTGGGGGCAGAGCCAGAAAAACCAGCCATGTGGAGCTGGAACCTGCTTTGCTGGGCTCTGCCTGGGGCCTCCATATGAACCTTTCCAGGGGCACATACCCAGACCGCTAAGTCTTGGAGAGCTGGGAGGTACAGAGGGACCCAGAACTTAAAAGACCCCAACTCAGAGCCAGATACGTGGACCTTACGTGGCTGACAGTCTCAGGGCAGGTCCGAGGCTCCAGGAGGGCATGGAGCAGGTAAGAAGGACTGCCAAAGCCACCAAATGAGCTGGTAGGACACTGTAAAGTCCCTCTAGACAAGAAGAAGGGGCTATTTCCAGAGGACAAAGTCAGGGTGCAATGGAGTTCCCTGCCAAGGGAGGGTGTGGCTCAGTCCTGGCCAGTTTGGGGTGGTGAGGAGAGGCAGCAGCTATGCCATTCACTGCCAGGCAACAGCAGCCACCCCCACCCCACATAGGCAGTTGCCTCAGAGGAGAGGCAGGGGATGGTGTAGCCTTCACCCACGTGTATGTTGGCCAAAGACACCGGACACTGGCTTAGACTGCCGGACCCTGACAAGCCCAGCTTCATAGACACACACACACCCGCCCCCACCAGGGCCCACCCCACCCACTCGTGCCTCGAGATGTCCTATTAAGGTCATAGACGCGGGGGTTCAGTGGAGCGCATCCATCCCTTCCCTGGGCCCCAAAGGCTACAGGGGTCGAACGACGCTGTTGAAACTTGCGGCGACTGATTGGACTCTGTTGGGACAACGGTCGGGAACAGCAGCTGGGGACACGGTCGGCTGTCAGGCTTGCTAACCTGACCTAGAGGGGCCCGCGCGCTCGGAGGGCCGAACAGGGGCCAGAAGGTCCATACCTTTGTACTTCTCCCGCACCTCCTCGTAGGCCTGGATGAAGTCTTGTTCGTCGGGTGGTGGGCCAGATGTCAGCAGATCGGCCATGCCGGCGGGAGTAGAACGCAACGGGCCGCTGCGCAAGGCCAGCCCTGGCAGCCGCTCTGCCCCCGCCGCCTCCGCGCGCACGGCTTAAAGAGGCCTCCCCCGCCCCGCCCCGCACCCAGGATGCCCCACGGGCGGGGCGGGGCCGACCAGCCGGGGACCTGGCCGGTATCTGTACCCGCTGCCCGGCTCCCCTTCGCGGGAATCCGAGCCTTGATCTCACACAGATCCAGTTGCAAACACTTCCTGCCCACTCAGGAACCAGATGCGGCGGACTGACAGGCTAGCCCTCCTCACCCAGAACTCGACCCTAGGTGGCCATTTCCCTAGGTCTGCCGCGACTTCTCCAACTCCTTAGCCCCTGACAGCTTCACCTGGCCACCTGGGTGAGGTCCTTCCTGCCTGGCTCACTCCTTTCGCGGTCACAACGCCCCTCCGTCGTAACAGTGGAGATATAGTTGGCATCTCCGAAATTTAAGAACCCTTAGGACACAGGAAACGGTCTCACATATGAGAAACAGAGCACACACTTTATAAAAGAAAATACCTTAGTAGTTTTTTTTTTAAAAAAAGTTCCCTTTTATCCATCCGTCTACACAGACCTGTCCCCCAGCATTGACACATCCTCCTTTTCCAACGGACACTGCACTGTTCCTAGAAACCTTAAACACTGCACACACCACGAGCAGAAGTTCTGCTTCTAGAAATCAGTCCTTAGAAAATTATCAGAGAAGTGAAAGACGGTAACAGGTGGGACTGGCTACGGCATGAAGGACAGTGAACACAGAAACCAGCCAATCAGCAAAAGGGGCTACTAGGGTCCCCCCATCTCTACCCATATGCCTGTCTTTAAGGGTCTGAGGTGGAGAAGGGTATTCATGAATCCAAGTGGGAAAATAACCCCTTTTATAAACTCCTTATGGCAGTGTGTGTGTGCAAGCGTGTGTGTGTGTACGTGTGTGTGCGCGCGCGTGTGTTTGTGTATACATATGTGTGTGTGCATGTGCGCATGTGCTTGCAGATCATGAATAGTCCTCGAGGCAGGGTGGGGAGCATGTCCATTATCTGTTACTTCCCATCTCCACAAGCTGCTGCTATGTTTCCACCAACCAAGTTCCTGGATGTTGCACAACCACCGCACTCAGCACCTGACCCTTCCCACCTCCTGCAAGGTCCCATTCTGCATTTCAAAGGCCTCATCATCCCCTAGGGAGCCCTGCTGGTGGAATGGGGTCAGTACTCCCTTTCCCAGGACATCCCACCCAATGGCCTCCAGCCTTAGGTGACCCATTTCCCAAAGGAACAGGCTGACTTCCAGCTAACTACCCTCCAACTGCCCACTGCTTCCCATAGTGCCTTTCACCAAGGCCTTTGCCATCCTCAGTCTGGCCAGCTCTGGAAATGCACAGCTGGACCCTGGCTCTTGGTTCTAGGGCTCTCGCAGATCAAACCTCTTCTGCTTTAAGGCGGCAAGGTGTTCCCAACCCTCAGATGGCAGTCAAGACTAGGAGAAGCAGTTTGACCTTAAGAGCCCAAGAAATTATTCCCATTGGAAATGGGCATCCTGACCCTTTTTCATGAGATCACAGATGAGCAGCTGCAGTAGGAAGCCAGAACTCAAGACCTCCAACCTTTTGCAGCTACCAACATAGAGCCAGCAGGTGGAGCTCTGCTGCCTGTCCGTGTCAGGACAGGATAAGCCTGCCCTCACAGCTGACTGTCCTCGGCCTCTCACCCGGTCCAACATCTATCTACACGCAGCACATATAACATGTTCAACACCTGTGCTAATGAGGGCGACCAGACCAGACCCTTCCCCATTACCTGCGATGCGGATGACTGCCCGCTCTGCAGGATCCAAGACGCTCCCATTGCCCACAGAACCACCTCCACTTCGCCGGCTTCGCTGTGTTTTCCCAAGGTTCCAGGGCAGTGTGTCCCCGGGGCTGGGTGAGCCACTGCTTCCATTGGAACTACCTTCAGGCACTGCCACCGGCCGTACCTCGGAGTCCTCCCCTGACATGGCCTCCTGGAGGAAGAGTAAGAGGGATTTACAATCTCACCTCCTTAACCTAAACATTGATGCCAAACTCCTCCTAGGCCCTATCTTGCCCATACACTGACCCTCCGGTGCTCAGCCCAGAATTGACAAGCTCTCCCCAATTACCATCTATCCTCACCTCCTCCAGCACGCACACTGGCCATCATTCCTGTCTCTTAGATACCCAAACGCTGACTATTCCCCTCCCCATTCCCAACACAGGACACTGACTCCACCCTCCACCTGTCAAACCGGAGGGGAAGAGGGCAGTACCATCAAGTACACATTGATAGGACCCTGTCACTGACAACTAGAGCTACCCCTGTATTTCAATCTTGGATTCCCTCTCCTCTGATCCTCCTATAGACTGGCAATGAGGCCATCAATAAACACTGCCTGTGTCCCTAATGTCCCACTCTTCAGAAAAGGACCCCAACCCCAGTCCGCGGTCACTACCTTCTACCTCCAGTCTCAGCCTTTAGGATTCCCCATCACTCAACCCCACCTCCAGTCCGCACAGTCCCACCTCTATCGATGTGATCTCTGCAGCAAAGGCCTATAAATAGCTGGAGCCGCAGCGGCGTGGGTTGCGGGAACTCGGATGCGGCAAGGCCCGGGGGAGCCCAGCAGCCGCTCTAGCAACCCATCACCAGCTTACTGCAGGAACAGCCAAAGCGCACGCATACCCACGCGTGCACACTCCCCAGCTCCTTGCCCCAAGAGCACTGGCGTGCGAAGAGGTGAATGGGGCTCTGTCTCAGCGGGGGTGGCGTAGCGTGGGGGCACAATGTGGGCTCTGTGCCTCCGCCCTCAGGCCAAGGGCTGGGAAAGAGTCAACCGTCCTCGAGTTAGTGCCTCTCCCGACCCCGCTCCACTGCGGGGCCCTTTGGTGGGTTGCCTCTGCTCCAGCCCCCGGCTGAGCCTGCCTTCACCGCTGCCTTTTTCTACCCACACTCAAGCACCTCCCGTCCAGTTCCGCAATTTCCTGATCCCAGGGAGGTGCTGTTCTCTGCATAGAGCAAGAGGGGCTGCGAGGCAGCACCTAGTTCCGGGTGGTCTGAGACCATTCCACTCCCCCCACCCGCTCTCCAAACTCCCGGACATCCCGAGCCTCTCCATACCCTCCCAGTTCTACGTTCCTGGTGGTTCCGCTTGCCTCCTCTCAGCCGCTGCAGCCAGACTCCTGGGGCCAGGAGAACCGCGGAGGCAGCGCAGGCGGGGCGAATCCAGAGCCCCGCCCCGGTCCCACCGAGAGCTGCGCTGCCTGGGCACCTCCGAGAGTTAGCAAACGTTTTACGCGTCACCCGGCTACGTGCCAGGAGTCCTGGTCCGGGGGATGGCAGAACCAGAGCCCAAGATATGATTAGATCATGCGGCACCCACCAAGTGCGCACACCTTGGCGGACGGTGCGCGAGGAGAGCTAGATGCTGCTAGCGAGCGTGAGGTCGTAGGAGTGCACCGCGTCCAAACGCCTGAGTCCAGGGCCCACCGCCGCCCCCACCCCTCGGTGAAGAGCTGACCTGGCCCCTAGCTACGTGGGTAGCCCCCACGCCCCAAACAGAGGTCGGATTCGGAGTCCAGTCAGTCTTTATATCTAACTGGTTTTCAAGTACAGGTTTATTCAAAGACAGAGCTGGACTAGGGCGCGGCCCAACCAAGACGGGGCGTGTCTGGCAGTGCACCCTCCTGCCGTGTTCTGCTGACCCCTGGCGGTCGTGCAGGCCAAGGAACCAGTTAGGTCTGCCCTCCCTAGTCCACTGTAATCTTGGCTTTCCAGCCAGAGGCAGGAGCACCCCAGGGGAAGCTCTGTAGCTTAGGCAGGGCTTCTTAAGTCAAATGTCCACGAAAGAGATTCAGGAGACCAAGGGAGTTATCAGGGGGTACTCCGGAGTATGTTCTTGCAGGTGATTAGATGAGTAGGCAGAGCTTGAGTGTCGTGAAAGATGACAAAGATATTGGGTTGTTGGAGGCAGTCCACGGCGCTGTCGTAGCGAAGGACCTGATCGGAGGCCCTCAAAGGAGGCGCCTTCAGATCGCGGGAGCCCTGTCCATAGTCACCGGTCAGCACCCGTGCCACAAACACCGCCTTGTGGCCTTCACTGTTGGGAGGTGAGTAGCGATCCAGTACCGACATGGAGGCACGCTTGGCGAAGTACACGCCTTGCCCGTAGAGTGTGCCTACAGGACAAGACAGGTGAGCCACCAGGGTGAGGGTCAGCAGAGTCAGCATGGCCCGTGTCCCTGCCCTGCACAGGCCTTACCGTTTCGGCCACAAAAGCTGCGGTTGAAACCGTGGGCACAGATGTCAAGCACTGCAGACTCCGATGTGCCGTGGTAGAGGACCTGCTCCACGGGGCGTTGCTGGCAGCATTGCATCAGGCGTTCCCGGTGCAGCTGGTACTGTTGCTGCAGCAGTGGGTGTGACACACGTTCCACCTGCCAAATGCATGGTAGTTGGGGTGAAGTTATTTGGTATCGATCCCTACACTGGCCAGAAAAGAGCCGAATTCAGCAATCACCAGCTCTCTGGTGGAAGGAAGAATTTAGGATTTGAAGGAAAACTTGAAGCCTCCCATCATACTCTGTCCAGAGGAATGCCCTCACCACCTCTATGGGACAAGTGGTATTGGAAAGTTGACTTCCAGGAAAGCCCCTCCAGGGAGCCCTGCAGGTGGGTAGACCCCACCCACTCACTTAGGACCAACAATCAGGCTCAGCAGTCAAAATCCCAGACAGGAGCCTATATTGCCTCTCAGTGCTGTTAAGATTGAAACAGTAGCCAGGTGGTGGTTGCTTTTCATCCCAGCACTTGGAAGGCAGAAGCAAAAAGATCTGAGTTCGAGGCGCCTGGCCTACAGAGTGAGTTCCAGGACAGCCAGGACTACATAGAGAAACCCTGTCTCGAAAAAGAAAGAGGAAAAAAAAAGAGAGAGAGAAAAAGACTCAGACTGTAGAGGAGGCCTCAGCTAACTAAGTCAACTTGGGTCCCGAAGGAACAAACTCAGGGATTCACAGCGCTTTTAAAGAAATTCTAATTGACCTTTGGAACAAGAATGCAGACTAGTATATCATCCATGAAACAAAGCTAGCCTCTCTGAAAAAGAGTCTGCACGTCAGAAACAGGACGTTTAGGATGAGATTGCAAGGCTGGAGATGCATTGCCAGAGCAGAGTGCTTGCTTAGCAAGTGGGTTGGATCCCCAAGATAAAAAGGAAAGGGAGGGGAAAGGAGGAGGAATGGAGGGTGGGAGAAGAGGAGGAGGAGGAGAAAGGGGCTCCAGAGCTAACTCTGTGGATGGGCTAGATAATGAAATGGTTAAAGCTAAAGTTTCAACTACATGGTACTCTAAGTGGATTTAAGGAACTGGTTCTGAGAACAGAGCTGAAAGAGAAAGGAACCTCGAGAGGGCAGGTAAGAGCATGAGACAGCAGGAGGTCTAAGCTCTGCTTCAAAAGAACTCCAGAAGCCAGAGACACAGGTGGTGCACCTGGGGACACAGTGGAAGATGATTCCCTGAGCTGGAGGCCATGTCACCAGATGGCGAGAACCGTGAAATGCCAAGGACACTGGGAAAGACAGGCCCCCGGTACCTAACAGAAAACCATAGCGTTTGAAGTGAAGAAAACTTTGCAAGAATATACATACACACCAAGGTCAGTATACAAATACAAATGGAAAAAAAAATCCCACACTGGGTTTCTCAACACTAACACTGGACATTAGTAAATCGTCAAGCATGGGGCTGGAGAGATAGCTCAGTTGTTAAGAGTGTATAATGCTCTTGCAGAGGACACAAGTTTGATTCCCAGCACCCATGTCAGATGGCTCGTAACCACCCATAGTTCCAGCTCCAGAGGGATCACCTGCACTCATGTACACATACATAATTTCCCTCTCGTATACCTCCACCCACAACACAATTTTTTTTAGATCTTTAAAAAAAAAATGGGCTGAGAGATGGCTCAGTGGTTAAGAGCACTGACTGCTCTTCCAGAGGTCCCGAGTTTAATTCTCAGCAACCACATGGTGACTCACAATCATCTTCATGTATAATAGGATCTGATGCCCTCTTCTGACATGTCAGTATACATGCAGAGCACGCATACATAAAATATAAATTTTAAAAATAAAGCAATTGTACTAGCTTTGAGGAGGGTGAATATGACCCAACAGGTAAAGGCCCTTGCCATGTGAGCCTAGAACCTTCATTCAGGCCCCAGAACCCACCTGCATAAAGATGGAAGGAGAGCAATGTCTTCAAATATCTGAGAAAAAAATATTTTGAATCTAAACACTATATCCCAATCAGGATAATAATGAAGACAAATAAGGACATATCAGCAAATGAAAGATCATGGAAAGTTTACATCTATATCAAATTAGAGCCAAGTGTGGTGACTCATGCCTTTAATTCAAATACTCGGTTTATCAAGACTGGGTTTCTCTTTATAGCCTTGGTTGTCCTGAAACTCGCTCTGTAGACCAGGCTGGCCTCAAACTCAGAGATTCGCCTGCCTCTGCCTCCCAACTGCTGGTATTAAAGGAGTGCACCACCAAAGCCTGGCTAAAATTGGTTTGTTTGTTTCTATGTAGGTGTTTGTACATTCACTCAGGGGCCAAAAGGCATCAGTGGTCTCGAGCTGGAGTGACAGGCAGTTATGAGCTGCCTAACACGGGTACGGAAACCCAAACTACGGCCCTCTGAAAACGCAGCAAGTAGCCCTAACCACTGAGCCATCTCTCCAGCCTCCACACTGTTGTTTTTTTTTCCTTAAAAAAATAGATTATTTTTAGGGGCTGGAGAGGTGGCTCTGTAGTTAAAAGCACTGGTTGGTCTTCTAAAGAACATGGGTTCAGTATCCATCACCCACATAGTGCATTCTTCTGGCATCCCTGGGTACCAGGCACACACATAGTGCAGACACAGATGCAGACAAAACACTTGTGTACATAAAATAAAATAAATAAAAATTGAAAAAAAAATGTGTGTTACAAATATATTGTGCTAATGTGTTTGTTTTGCCTGCATGTATGTCTGTGCACGACATACATGCCTAATGCTAGCAGAGTTCGGAAGAGGACATCAGGTTCCCTGGAAATGGAGTTCCTGATGGTTCTGAGCCACCATGTGGTTGCTAAGAATCCAGGCCCTGCAGATTTGTTAGTTTTTCTTTTTTCTCTTTCTTTTTTTTTTGTTTTTTGTTTGTTTGTTTGTTTGTTTTTGTTTTTGTTTTTTGAGACAAGATTTCTTTGTGTAGCCCTGGATGTCCTTGGATTCATTCTGTAGACCAGGCTGGCCTCAAACTCACGGAAATCTACCTGCCTCTGACTCCCATGTGCTGGGACTAAAGGTTTGTGCCGCCACTGGCCAGCTAGCTCCCACATTTCAACCAATCTGGTTACATTTACCTGGTTGTGATGCCAGGGTAGGCATTTTTTTCGTTATCAACATAGAGCCAAAGCACGCAGACTACAATGTGTTTATGCACCTTAACGACATAGCATAAACACTGTAAATGACCGAATGAGGAGATGGGGCAAAGAAGAGGTGGCAGAAAAAGAAAGAAGAGCCAGTCTATTCTTTGTATAGCTAGACAAGCAAAAAAAAGGTATCTCTAATAACAGGGAAAAAACCAAAAATGTGCCATCATAAGTTATAAACCCTCGAAAATCAAGTAAATGATCTATATGAAGACAGAAGCTGCCAGCCCTACCCACAACTTTCAGTCTTACCACACGATGGCAACTCGTCTGTCCTTTCTAATGGTTGACCGCTGTCCCTCTCTGGCCTCATCCATGAGTACATTCAGTCTTCCGGGCGAGAAAACTGTGGTTCATCGCACATTCTTTTCTGGCTCACTCACCATCTCCTTAGCGCATTTCCAGAGTGGTCCCTCTTGTTACTGCCTGCATACTCTCTGCTCCCTCATCATGTGTAGCAAACTAGTCTGGCAGTCCCTCACCCTCAGTCCTTAATTTATTTCCTTATTTGTGTTTTTGAGACAGAGTCTCACTATATAATTCTGACTGGACTGGAACTCGCTTGGTAGACCAGGATAGCCTTAAACTCACAGAGATCCCCCTGCCTCTGTTATTCTTTTCTCACCTGCTTGGACAGTACCTGGTCCCAGGGCTTCATTCTGGCCCCCTGCTACCTGGTACTAGGTTATTTTTTGTCCATGCTCATAGCTGCCAAATTGAGCAAGGAGCAGCCACTGTATTTAAATGTATACAATACATATATCTATGCACTTTTTTCTTCCACTAACCTATATCTCCAGCCCCATAAAAAAAAATGTATAGTGTTTTATTTACACATAAAGAGGTAAGACTTTGCCAGAACAGGCCTCTCTCTGTCAGAGACAGAATACCCCTAACTACCACAACCGACCAGGAAGAGTGATCCTCACATTGGCCACCAGATGGTATCGCCACTCCACGCTCCAGACAAAGGACCGGTGACAAAGTCATCTAGTTCCCCATCTAGCCCTGGTAGGAAGCATCACTCAGGGAGGCCTGGCAGATCCCTAACCCCTGTGCCCTTCTGGGCATCTTCCTCAGACTCTAAATGTTCTCTGGGAAAAGAAGGGGTACTTATCTACTGTAGGGAGGAGCAGAGAAACCCTGAGTGAAGTCCCGAGTGAACGTATGTTGGTGACATGAGCAGTCATGTCAAGGACCACAGAACCTTGGCAAAGCCTTCTTCTGGTCCAAATGTGGGTACTGATCGTGTGTGCAGAAAATGTCCACCATAGCTTTCTCCCCTGGGCTATGTACTGCCTGAAGACTGCTCCCAACAGAGACCGCTCCTTGCCCAGCTGTGTGCAATAACTTAATTCCTCCTCCTGCTCAGCTCCACACAATAAAGACAACCAGTGTCTGCAGTGTTGCAGTTTCCCCATCTAAGAGCCCAGAGCCCATCCCAGCTTGCTATGTGTCTCTGTGTTTGTCTTTTCTTCATCCCCTCAATGCCCTCAGTCAGGTCCAAGTCCCTGGAGCCATGCACGGGTGCAGCCAGCCATTCTATCAGCCTTCAGCGTATCCACTTTGAGCAGCTTTGGTCAACTGACCCTAACACACAGAGAAGTGTACACACAAGGCCAGCAGCACAGGACATGAACTCACCCGAACAATTCTGATCCTGCTGTGGGCAGCATCCAAGGAATCATAAAAGGCCTGCACCACATCCTGGAACTCCTTGGAATTCTCCTCCAGGGCCTCCAGCCTGCCCAAAGGTTCCTTCAGGCTCTGCTCTGACACTGACACACGGGAAGAAAGCGCATTAGGCGCATATCTCGAGCACTAGGCCAGAAGCTAATCCGTCCCACCCTCCCCAAGTCCAAGGTACAGACTCACAGTTGTTTGACGCCTCCAACGGAAAGGTCGAATTCTGGTCATAGGGTCCAACGAGCAGAGCAGCCAAATGGCGAGCTGCGCGGGCAGGCTGAACCCCAAAGCCACGGATGATGGCGCGGTCGCCATGCAGGGTGACGCTCACATCATGGCACCTCTCCAGGCGAGTCCCAAGCTCTGAGGGCAGCACACAGCCCTGAAGACTCACTGTCTCCTCCCGAAGGTGCACCTCCAAGGCAGCCGACAATGCCCGATCCAATTCATCCATATCCTGCTGGAAGGAAGTGTGTACCACCAGCTGCACCCTGCCTCCACTGCCCTCACCCAGGGGCTCTTCTGCTTCTAACAGGGAGAGGGCCATGGCTCGCCTTAGTGCGCTGGCCTCCTGCTGCTCCACCACTTGGCCTTGAGACTCCAAGGACCGGTGGATAGCCAGCTGCAGGGTGGCCTCTTCTTCTAACTGTCCAGGTGTCCCAGTGCTGAGGGCCACAGGCTCTGCCCTAGCCTCAAGTGTGGATTTTTCCTCCTGCTGCTCAAGGGTGGTCTCCTCTGGCTGCTCTCCAGCTTTCTCCCTCCGCATCTCCATAGGCAGCCAGTTCTCTCCATGAAGGCCTTCCAGGGTAGCCAGCAGCTCTTTGACTTCCTCTAAGGGCAGAAAGAGGCCACTAGGTCAGGAGTCAAGTCCAGCCAAGGGGCTAATAATAAACAATAGGATGAGTCGTAAGGGCTAAAAGATAGAGATTGTATCTGTGGGTACAGAGTATACCACAAAATAATCACTAAATCAGCAATAGAGCAGAGAAGGGGGAGGATGGTCAAGAAAAGACCACAGGACCTTGTAGGGCCCTTGGGAAGCCCTCCAGTATCTAGGAGAGCATGCCCTACCCAGTCTCATGGTCTCCTGATAGCTGCCTGTACTGTGGCCATGGAGGGCCTCAATGGGATCAGCCTGTGGGAGGAGAATGTCAGAGTCAAAGCAGAGGAGGTATCTAGGCCTGGGCTGTGAGAAAAAGGACAGAACTCCATCTTACCCTTTCAGGATCTAGGTCCAGGGTAGCGCTGGCCAGATGTTCTGTCCCAAAGACACACTGGAACTGGGCCTCCAATCCGTGAAGAAGGTGCTGCCCCTCCACAGCCAGCAGGAACCGGGCACTGCCCGGGTGCTTCATGTTCAGCGTGTGGCAGCTAATGCTGTCCAGCAGACTCTGCAGCAACTCTTGGGCTGCCTGGCATGGGGCCCTAGGTCCACAAAGCTGCAAGACCGTAAGAGGACAGCCTACAGGTTAGAGTACAGGAAAGACACCTGGACCTAAGAGAAGTGGTAAAGTGAGATTCTGAGGGTCACTCACCCGAAAGCCAGTTACATCTACTCCTTCAAGTGGGAAAAGGGCAACATCTTCCAGGCTGGCAAGAAGGTCCTCATGGTAGAGCTGCAGGAAGCGCACGGCCCCTGAATCCATTAACATTACTATCTCCACCGGTTCCTCTTGCCTCTGCAACTCCTCATACCCAGGGCTCTCCAGCTCTCTCTCTGGAGACTCTGTGGCCATTAGTCCCTCTTGCTCTGGTGAGCCAGTGGCCACTTCATCCAGGCCCTCCGGCCTCTGAACTTCCATAGAGTATGAGGCCATAGATCCTCCATGCCCTGAGAGCCCTATAAAGCTTTCTACTGAACCTACTGGGCTTGCAGACCCCATAATCCCCTCGCTTGTGAAACCAGCCTTCTCTGGAGATCCCATAGCTCCCTGGTTTATAGGCTCCTCTTGCTCCAGAGACTTCACAGGCCCTGAATCAACTGGCACGTCTTGTCCTGAAGCCTCCACAGGACCTGTCCTTAGAGAGGCTCCTAATTGTCCTGGTGCCTCCTCAGAGCCCACAGTCATAGTCAGGGTCTCGGCCTGCCCTCCAGGATCTAAGAGAGCATGCTCAGTGGCTCCAGATTCCTGCATGCTAGGGTGATCCCCTTCACTGGCGCCGTCAGCAAGCTCCTCTGGCTCCAATACATCGTAGTGGGGGACAAGGCTCAACTCAGAGCCCTGCAGCCAGTGTTTCTGCTTCAGCACCCGTTCAGCCACTGGAGGAGAAGAGAAGACAGAAAGCCCATTAGGTTTCTAGCACAGATTGAGTGTCCCCTTAGTGTAGTTTCATCGCCTCACTCACCCTGCCACTCCTGAAAGTTGATAACAGTACCCAGTTGCCTGGGCAGGCTGCGCAGGCCCTCCAAGGGTCCCCCACCACTGCGACGCTTATTCTCCAGGTACAGCTCCAGCAGCAAGGGGTCCACTGGGGTGGCGCTGTCCACCACGCGTACTGCTCGGGTCTGGGGCACCCAGGCCAAGGATACTGTGACACCATTCAGAGGCAGATTCCGGGCCTGCTCCTCCAGGGCACAGACATCTGTGGGCAGTATGGAAATCAGCTCAGGCACCTTCCTTAACTTTCAGAAGCTATGTCCCAACCCTGCCTGCCTCTCTTACCTGCTTCAGAAAGGGGCATGGATAACTGGACCAGAGCACAGTCCTGCCGAGGACTGGCCAGCGCACGGCAAGCCTGCGCTGGGTGCCCCATGGCACGCAGCAGAGCCTGAACATGTTGTTCCAGGCTCAGAGGTGAAGTGCCCGGTGGCAGTTGGTGGAGAAGCACACGTTCAGGGGCCCTTGGGGGCGCTGGCCTCAGGCTCAGGCGCACACCAGCTAGCTGGTGCTCCGCCCGGGTTAAGACCCTTTTCGCGTCTGTAAACAGAGGCAAGGTGTCAGAGACCTCAAAGTTCAGGGCACCCAGGCAGCCCCTGGAGTTAGCCTCCTCACCTGCGGGATCTTGAAAGATGAGGATGCCCCCACAGCCTAGTCTCTGCCAGCTCAACAGAGGCCCTCCACCTGAGCGACGGTAGTTCTCAAAGTAGAGAGTGAGTAGCTCATCGGGCACTTCAGGGGACAGTCCCCGGAGCTCCACGGCTGCCCCAGCCTCCACCTCTGCCATCAGAATCCTGTGATGCGACACGTGGGAAGGGAAGAGGCCCGCTCCATCTGTTGGGTTCTCTCTCCCAGGCCCCTAGCTGTTCCCCAACAGCTTCATTATTTACACTCACCCTGTCGGTCAGTCAGGCCTGAAGTCCTTGCCAGGCAGAAGGCCTGAGATAGAAAAGCAAAAGTGAAACCAAGTGGAGGAAGAAAAGAGGGAGGAGCTAAGCCAGTGGCTGTAACTCAGGCACTTCCTGTCCTGGTGAAACCTTAGCCTCAGTCCACAAAGAACTTCTAAAGACCCTTCTGCAGCACGTCCACTAGCTTCTGACCGGCAGAGTGGAACACATGTCTTCTAGACTTTCTCCACTTTCTTGGCTTCCCTTTGTGACTAATCACCCTCCCTACAGGATACTTAGGTCGCTGTCTGCCCTAAAGAGTCTCCTGGCTTCTGTTCTCTGTGTCCTAGACGTGAGCAGCACCGAGTCTGTAGGCGGGCCCCTGCCTGAGGCTGGCTCTTAGAAACCTTCCCAAACAGGTCCTTCATACCCAGAGAGTAACCAGCCTTGCTTCTAAGTGCTGGAGGTGAGCAATTCCACCCTTGGCTCCCTCCCTAAAAGTACAAGCAAAAGCCCTTGCTGCCAAGCCTGTCAAACTGAGTTCTGATTCCTGGGTCTCCCAAGATGGAAGGAGAGGGCTGATTCTTGCAAACTGTCTGACTTCCACATGTGTGCCACACCATAACACTCATTCACACACACACAGGCGCTTCCTGTCCTGGTGAAGTCCATAAATATATATATATGTATATATGTGTGTTACATATATATGTATATATATATCCACACACAAATAAGTATTTTAAAAATGTAAAGCTCACATCACAACACAGCTCCTTTCTTTCCTGTGCCCTCAAGCCCACATCTGCCTAGTCCTTCCATTTGTATCATCTTGGCCATCACTATGCTGACAGCCTTTCAGCCACGGATCCTTACCACAGAAGGGGAGCTGGAAGTGCAGACAGGATCCAGAGGGCCAGGCCTCCCTCCGAAGATATGCCTTTATTATTTATTTTGAAACAGGCTGTCCCCTTTGTAACCCAGACTGTCAGGAACTCACTATGCAGGCCAGGTTGGTCTTGAACTAGAAGTGGTTCTCTGTCCACTCTCCTGAAAGCTGGAGCTGTAGGCATGTACAACCATGCCCAGATTTGGGACTGTGCCTTTATAATTCACTCTCCTACCCACCACCAACCGTGCCCACCCTCATATCCCATTTGCTCTATCGCCTCCAAAGCTGTGACTGCTGTTACTCTCTACCCATCTCTTCCTTCCAGTCATCCCAGCCCTAGCTCTGCCGTTCTTCCGGAGGATCATGGTTTTGCCCAATCTATGCATCAAACCTGTAGTCCTTGCCTCTCCACTACCTTTCCTCTATGCATCAAACCTGTAGTCCTTACCTCTCCACTACCTTTCCTCTCCCCACAATTAAGACCCTCCAGAACTTCTCAAAGGACCATGCTACCCTCTCTTCTTCTCTGCCACGCCCACTGTGGTTCCCCCATGAAGCTGGCAGGGTACTGATGACAGCTACAAACCCCAAAGCCAATGACAGTAAAAACTAAAGTCTGATTGGCCCCAGCTCCCATTCCTCTAATTCCTTCCCATACCTGCACACGCTGATGCTTAGTGGGCTCTGACCTCCCTACCCTCAGCTCTTACCAAACCAGTACCCCTGGGCTAGCTTTCCTCTGCATGACCCAGCCTTCCCCCACAGAGCCATGTGGCCATCCCTTCTCCATGATTTCCCTTACCCAGCCCTTAGTGGCAGATAAAATTTGGAGCTAAAAACTCAAACGGCCTCTGAGTGGTCCAGGTTCCTTCTGCGTCCCTAGAGTCAATTTTGTGTGTGTCATTTTATTTTCCTCTGAGGTCCCGCAAATTATATGAGATTCTATTTCTACAAAAGCCTGTCCCGCCTACGCTATTATAGGTCTTAACCACCTCCCAGCACACTGCAGATAAATGCCAGCTACAGAAGGCCTGTCAGACAGGGGTACATTCAAACAGCTCATATTACTGCCATTGTTAAATCTTCAGGAATGTCTGGGAACTGGATGTTAAAATGATAACGTCCCGTGTGCTGGTTACTGCTAACTGCCAACTTGATCCAATCTAGAAAGATCTGGGAAGAAAGGTTTAGAGTGGAATTAGCTAGAATAGGTTGGCCAGTGGGTATGTCTGTGAGGGATTTTCTTGTTAATTGAGGGTGGAACAACCACCATTTCTCTAAACTGTATAAGAAAGTTAACCGAGAGCAAGCAAGCAAGTAGCATAATTTTTCTGCTCTTGGCTGTACACATGAAGAGACTTGCAGCTTCCATTCCTGCGTTGACTTGGGCAAAATGATAGACTGTGACCTGCAATTGGGAGCCTGATGAGCCTCCCTCCCCTGTGCCGCTTTCTTTCCGGGTGTTCATGGCGACGGAACGCTACTAGAATTTGTAATCAGTAACGGTGAGCATGTTTATCTGGAGGATGTGAAAAAGCACAGGCTTATCCTCACTAGATTCTGCTGTTAGCACTCTCTGGACACAGGCGAGAAACCGTTCCCAACCTCACCAAAAAGTCTCAGAAAGGCCAGAAAATAAGAATCAAAGAAGTATAGAATGCCCTAAGCCACAGAGGACCAGGGGGCCACCTAGTGGGATGTTTTTTCAGACCCCCCCCAACCAGAGTTGAGGCAAGGAGTTATCACCACCTCAGCTTTCTGTCTACATGGTTGCCTGAACGCCAGAAGAGGGCACCAGATCTCATTACAGATGGTTGTGAGGCACCATGTGGTTGCTCATGACCTCTGGAAGAGCAGTCAATGTTTTTAACCTCTGAGCCATCTCTCCAGCCCCAGATAAGTGTATTATTTTTTGTTTTTTTTCAAGACCAGGTTTTTTCGTGTAGCCCTGGCTGTCCTGCAGCTTGCTTCATAGGCCAGGCTGGCCTCAAACTCACAGAGATCCTCTGCCTCTGTCTTCAGAGAGCGGGGTTTAAAGGTGTGTGCCAACAACTCCTGGCCTGACAAGCTCCTTGTGAGGATATGAGACAAGTGACCAGAGGCTGAGTATGGAAAGAATGGAGCAATCAAATGATTAATGTCTTAGTCTGGAATAGGTGTGGATTGAAAGGGAAAGTGAATTCTGTGTTTTAAAGCGAATAATGGTCTGGGTGTAGTGGATCATGCCTGTAATCACAGTAGTTGGAAGGCTGAGGCAGGAGGATTGTCACAAGTTTGAGGCCAGTCTGTTACACAGTGAGTTCCAAGCCAGCTGTGGTTACCGAGACCTTGTCTCAAAACAGCAAAGCCAAGAAGGGATGGAGTCCTTGGAAGCTTCAGTAAATCCTGCATTTAGGAATTAACTCCCTAGACAGAGAGTCACATAAGCCATAGCAGAACCACGGCTTCGGAAGTCGTTAGCCCCCCATGCCAGACTCCAACCCTGATCAGAAAGTGCAGGGTGCAGGACTCTGTCTAACCTGGGACGACTACCGACAGCAGTAAACTGCTAGTTAGACGGCGCAGAGCAGTTTAGGTGGGCGTAAATGCACCCTGACCGGTCACAACACCCGCCCTATCACAAGGCCCCGCCCCGCCCCGTCATAAGGCCCCGCCCCATCACAAGGCCCGCCCCGTCACAAGGCCCGCCCAGTCACAAGGCTCCTGCGTCTCCCCAGCCGCAGGCGCAGGCCCAAGCAATCCGGCCGCCCAGCGGGTGCAGGTGCGGACGCACCGGCCATCACTGCGCGCGGCTGCGCAGCGGGCACCGTAAGCACCGGCCTCTGGCTCCCCGGCAGCGGTGAGTCCCCCAACCAAACCCAAGAGCTTGTCACCGCCGCAGCCCCCTGCCAGTCGGCCATCCCCTCCCTGCGTTGTTACTGAGTGCGGCCGCCTCGGGTCAGTTGGTTCGGCCAGGACTCGCTGCCCGCTCGCCCAGACTGGTGGCATCATTGGGGGTGGGGAGCTACGGCGGCCCTGAGCAGAAGGGAGGGGGTGGCGCTCTGCAGCCGCCCAGACTCGAGGGCCAGCGACCTCCCAATCCTGCGGGAGGGTCCATCGGCCCTCCAGACGGGTTCTGTGGCCACCGCCCCCTCCCCCGTCGTCCCCATTCCCCGCTTTGTTCCCTTGAACGCCCTCTGGTCGCTTCCATCCCCCACACACCCCCGCACCCCGCTGTTCCTGGCGTACCCTACTAGCAGACACCTTAGCAGCCAATACAGGCCTGCACTGAGCCCCGGGAGCTAGGGACATTCGGCTCTGTGCTTAGGAGGAGGGTCAGGGTTCCGGCTGGTCACAGATGGCCTGGGGATTTCCTGGGATAGAAATAGCCGCTTGCGCTGGCCCCTTCAAGCTGCTTAATAGGCGGGATAGGAGAGGGAGGGCCAGGGCACACCCCCACGCCTCTCTAGCCTCTGCGCCGCACCCCAGACCCTTAGTTGCTGAGCTCTAACCCGAAAGACTGGCAGCGGTCAGAAGGCATCTCTCAAGCTCCAAGCCGAGGCTGACAGCCATCACTCTTTCTCCCATCCCCCACCCCTAGATCGGTCTAAAGCAGCCCCTTCCAAAGGGTCCACATCGGTCTCCCCGAGCCCCACCCAACGCTCCCCGCCTCCTTGTTCTGAGGCTTCCTAAACCCTCGTACAAAGGTCATGGTCCAGCTTTTTTTTTTTTTTTTCTTCCTGGGTTTTGAGCAGGTGGGGCTGTCACTGATTCCAGTCTCCCAGAGGTAACTGTTCCTTTTTTCTCCTCTAGGGGCAGCCGCAGAACCCGAGGCCATGTCCCATGAAAAGAGTTTCTTGGTGTCTGGGGACAGCTATCCTCCCCCAAACCCTGGATATCCTGTGGGGCCCCAAGCCCCTATGCCTCCCTATGTTCAGCCTCCCTACCCTGGGGCCCCATACCCACAGCCTCCTTTCCAGCCTTCTCCCTATGGTCAGCCAGGGTATCCCCATGGGCCCATTCCCTACCCACAAGGTGGCTACCCTCAGGGACCCTACCCTCAAGGAGGCTACCCACAGGGGCCATTCCCACAGAGCCCCTTCCCCCCTAACCCATATGGACAGCCACCACCCTTCCAGGACCCTGCCTGTAAGTGTAGGGAAAAGTGGGGCAGGGGCAGGGACTCAACTAC